TTTCTTCATGGTCGGGCAATGGAATATSCTCTCCATGGTCATCGATTAGGGCATCGGGTTCACCATCTCCTGGTTCAGACTTTCACCGCCATTCAGCAGGTTGGAGAAGTGTTCCCTCGATAATTTCATCTGGGCATCAGTCACTATATCTCCCCTGGAGGTTCTACAAGTGTAGGCTCCTGTCTTGAAACCTTCTGTTATTTGCCACTGCATCGCTGAACTAACATTTTATTGTAAAAATCCATTAACTAAACATGCGACGCGCCTGTTGACCGTTGGCTCCAATTCTTGTACGAGTTGGCGTTTGTAAGTCCTCAAACTACGATCTTTCCGCAAAAATCGTTAACAAGGCCGAGTATTCTTCGCTGCACCGCCTCACAGTAGCAATAGCGTGTTCGTTTCGGAGAACGCGCATTATCCTTACTCCAAGTTGTATCGCACCATGCGCGTCACAAGACAAGATGCCTACTGTCTCAGCTATCTCTAGCCTAACCTGCAAGTCACTTAACCTCTWAGTAGATAGCCAAGGCAATAAAAAGTATTCGTAGCGCCAACACGAAGTCCTACTCCCTAAGATTATATAAGGAGGCAATAAGTAGACTTACAGAGAAAAGCTGGCTAAAACTCATCCTTTGCTTCAAGGATTAAGGAATGGACTCTACAAGTATTTTGTAACACTACGAACCAAAACCAAAAAGCATCTACATTTGTGTAAGGGGAAACTGAATAACATTTTAGGGTTCTACACAAGGTATCCACCTCTAAGATCCCACCTGTAAAAACTTATTAAAGTATAAACCACGGAAAACAAAGCCTGCACAAAGGATGACAAGACGCTAAAACATTACACCTGTGTTTGCCCAGACTCTGTCGGTTGAGACGGTATATCCGCCACCACTTGCAATCTTCCAACTTAAAATATAATGAGGAGTTAGGGTGGAAACAGGCATACGTTTYGTCAAATCCACTGTCCCAATTATGTCTTAAGTATGGCCGCTCAAGGTCAGAAGCACCTTTTTAACCAAAAGACCGACCAACCAATACACAAYCGAAAGTTGTGAAACAACCCTCCTGGAACAATCACCACTGTGTTTAAATTCARTATTACGAGTTATATTCGAATATTTACTTTTCCTTTTATCAAAAGTCAATCAGTTTATTTTATGAATTTTTTCGCTATAGACTAGCTTAACGTATCGTTTATTTGCACATTTGAGATGACGACAAAATTGAAAAGTCCAAACACAACAACAAACTYGGCGGCACAAMCCACAGCCAAGCATAAAAGCACACGTTCCTCAACCAGTTTCGGCGCATCCACCACACGATCCATCAACTCAACGTCGAGCAGCATCAGCTCCTGCAGCAGCCGACGCAGTTGCGACAACAAMAACARTGGCAGTAAAAGCAGCAAAAGTTRCACCAACACGAACAACAGCAATACCTKTGGCGACCGACGCTTCAACACACACGCGGCGGTCAACGGACGCACCTCACTCTTTCGTTCGTTCATTACATCGGGACCGCGTGTACGTCAAGCAAAGCCGCAATCCAATGACTTCGCCTACGATCTCTCCAAAGATGAATCGAAATTCATGGGCACATTTAAGGGACCCATGAAGACAGTGCCGGACAATGAGCGTGAGCTGCTGAAGAGTGGTCAACGCGGCGCCTATCTAGCGTTGCGCTACGAGCATTCACCAGATCGCAAATAYAACTATCCGGAAGCGACTAGYTGGCGCATCGGCTGGTTTCATAACCAACTGACACGGCAAGGTGTGGCTACTTAACGGTTTTATATTAGCTTGGAGGGTAGCCGACGACTAAGTTTTGTAAACGTGCGCTGAARTCTTTCTCTAAATTCAGGTCGTTGGGCTTGTTAGTATTTCAAAATCAATCCTTTGATGAACTGAGCCGATCGGTTGGGTTCTTGAAACCTTGCAACCGTCGACGAATTGGCCTTGAAATGCTGCTCAGCTCATCGACCCAAATTATTTATGTATGTGTTATTGTTTCGTGAGTTACAGTCTTCTCATACYAAATTCATAATTTACTTATTACTAAGCCAATAAATTATGCGAAATTGGTGGTTAAGAAATTCCGAGGAGATTAAAATTATTTGTGGAACAAGAAATCGGGACAAATGTTGAAGAGCCGATTAGATTTTAGGGAGACAATTGAAATGTTGATTTRGTTAGGTTAGATTCTAAAGCTGATCCTAAAGATGAGGTTCATACTTGGATGACTAAARACCGTTTTTTATGAAACCAGAAAATTCCGACAAGGCAAGACAAAGTGCCAYGAACTCGCCGAAAATATGACCTGAAGTTTTGTTTCTATTCTCGTAAATTCTCCTGAATATTAGAAAGTATTTTAGCCTTAATCCCTAGTCAAGTAGGAATTGTTAAAGTAATTCTAGCTCGTCTTCTTCCAAGCCACTTCCACAACTGACATCCGGTAAGTTCTTTGACCTTACCGTCGGAACTCCGTTTGGGAAATGGACAGCTAAACGTGTTATGACTAGATACCGTGCTATCTTGAAAGCTAGTCTTGCTAAGCACCAAGAGCTCACTAGACCTTTTACGAGTTACTTCGAGCTAGAAGGATCTTAAAACTGCACAGACCTTAGTAGCTCACGCTAATATCAAGCGAAAACGGTCATAYTGGAATYGCAGTGATGCGGTGCAAACGGTAGACAAACCAAGATTGTCGGTAAGGAAGTGGGAATTGATAGAAATCATCTGATATGAGCTGTTCTTCTATAGGCAAACTCTTGCCTCGGACCTCCAACAATTTAACTATTTAATAATAATAAATAATTTTTCAGAGCAGCCAGCTTTGGCCAATAGTAGAGGATAGTGACCGCTGAGAAACTCGAAGAGTTTAATTGAGAGATTCTTATGCGTCCAATTTAAAGTTCGTACCAGGCATAAAGCCATTACTACATGTTCCGATCTCTGGCGAATGATTGTGCTAGTGAAAAATTCGACTCGCAAGAAGCTGTCCACTGTAAAATTTAAGGTCAATAGGGACGAGTCTTCGAGATCTACAATAGTTTTTACGAATTAAATTAACATATTTATAAAAAAAAAGGTCCAAAATATATAAATGTATTTTGCCAATAGAGCAGAAATTTACAAATAACAAGGTATTCACATGGCGAAAAACAATATTTAATTTTTGTGTTTAAAAATTGATATATACTCAAGTCCTGTCTTCTGCTTTTGTCTCTTAATCCTTCTTTCCTTCCAATTCGGCTTGAATTTCGGCAAAAGTTTTTCCCTTCGTCTCCAGTACGCAGAAGTAAATGTAAACACCGCCCACAGCGGAAATTATAGCGAAAATCGCAAAGCAAGCACCGCCACCAATAGAYTCATTTAGAATTGGGAATACTTGAGTGACAATAAAAGCGGACAGCCAATTAGTTGTGGCCGATATCGAACCGGCAATACCCTTGACATCCTCGGTAAAAACCTCAGCCATGAACACCCATGGTACGGGACCGAAGCCGACGGAAAACATTAAGATATATATGCAAATGCTGAGCAGTGGCAACCAACCCAAGCCTTCCACCGACGTTTCATCCTTCTCTTTCATAAAGAAGTATATCGATAAGCCTGCGATGGAGATCACTTGACAAACGGATGATAGTAATAAGAGCGGTATGCGACCATATCTGTCAATAATGAACAGGGACACAACTGTGGCTACCACCAACATCACGCCTATAATCATTGTGCTAAAACGTGGCTCCAAACCGCCGGCTGTTGACTTGAAAATGCTTGAAGAATAGAAGATTACCGCATTGATACCGGAAAACTGTTGTAGTATCATCAGTGATATGGACAAGCCTAAAGCTTTGAGCGTCACTCTACGGCACAGTGCCTTACCCAAATTYCCGGAATTCTCCTTTAGTTTAGCATTGTCGGCCTTCATTTCGTTAAATTCGGCGCTGAAGTCGTAATCTTTGCCGCGCAACCATTCCATTGATTTCTGTGCCGCTTCCATGCGATCTTTCTTTATTAAGAAAATCGGTGAATCTGGACAAAATATAAATATGACAGCGAAAACGAGTGGCGGTATGCTACAAATAATACTGAACATGTAGGCTTTTGTAAAGCCACCAACGACGAATGCAAACAAAACACCATTGGTGATGAGCAGCTGGAAGAAACTACCGATAATGCCGCGTACCTCCTTCTGTGAAATTGCCGTACAATACATGGGTGCRCAAACGCAGAAGGAACCGCCYGCCATGCCRGTTAAAAAGCGTGCTACGTATATCATCATTTGATTTTGCGCAAATATCAACAGCGCCCAGCCGATCTCGAACAGTATAACCATAAGCATCATAGTCCATTTCGGTCCGATGGTGGTTATGAGCACACCAACGGGGAAGCAGACAAAAGCCGCACCCAAAGTCATTAGAGAGCCAGTCCAGGCGTATTCCTTGGTGGAAAAGGTTATGCCGTAATCATTTTCGCCGGTAAATTCGTCTTGCGCCGGCGAAGACCAACCTATTGTCGCACCACACGCAAGTGCACCACCAGCCGATGCCAAGCCRGCAAAGTATTGGCGATAAACTTTGGCCATTCTTTTCCGTATTTATAGCAAAATATATTGGTTTTTGTAGTCAATTATAAGCACGTTTATGTATTTCGTAAAAATATTTGAGCAAACTGACAGTTTTGAAAAAAATTGTAAGCAAATTTTCTATAGTGACTGGAGAATGAGTAGTGGCTTGACGTAACTTTACATTTAACCCGTTAAAAAACATTTAAAGTATTCTAAACTTGWAATTATAATAACGGTACATGACATTTATGGAAAAAGAGATTACGAGCATTAAGTACCGTTACTTTTTTCTAGGCGCATTTGACAGCGCGTTGAAGTGTCATTGTGACGTCATTTTGAAACAAATTTTAAATATCCCAATTATTCTACGTAGTTGGCAATGTCGTCGGCTGCGAAAATTTCCCAAAATAKTTGTTCGTTGCACCATAAACAGCTGTTCAATTTTAACAATTTTCTATTGCTTTGTAATTTTTATGTAATTTTTGCTCGTTAATATATTGATTGTTTAAGAAAAGTGCAAAAATGGGTAGCTGGCAATTGGAAGTTTTTAAAATGACTTTGTATATGTCCTTTCCCGTGGCAATGTTTCACATCTTCAATCAACCGGCTTACTTTGAGGAATGGGTGACCAAAACCAGACGTGAGCTATATCCACCCGAAAGTTTAGGCCACCGGGAAGAGATACAAAAAGCCATAAGAGATGTGCGTGAAAAAAGAGATAAAGAAATGATGAAAGCATTAGAGGATATAGAAAAGCGTGGAAAATAATTGTTAACTAAAAAATAATAATAGTTGCCACAAAGAAGTGTGCTATGCTAGAATATTATATAAGGTTATTTTTGTTTTTTTGTAAGTTGAATTGTTTACCTTTAAACACAACACAAACATTTGCTATTGGAATATAATTGAAATAATATTTAATTATAAAAATGATTTTTATTTACTATTTATGCATGAATAATTATAATAATGATGCTGTAAAATTACTTATACCAATATATTTCGTCGCGGCATTAAAGTATATTCATAAAGTGCCATTGCCAAACACTCGACAGAGACCTGGCATACATTTTACGGATTTAACTGGTATACGTCTTCTTCGAATTAAAAATAAGTTTTATTATTTTAAATATATACATAAATCTTAATCTATTTTTTACATTTTCACTTAATTCAACTTAAATACGCAAAGAATAAGAGATACGGAAAGAAATCGTAGATTTAAAACAAAAAAATATTTGAAAATGCGTTTTAGAAACTTTACTTAAGTTGCGAAGTGCACACGCATATATATTTCATATTCAATCAAAGAAAAATAATGTAACAAGCTAATGGTTTCTAACCATTGTTAATATTCGTTGCGTTTACTGATATTCGAACTTTTTCACTCTCTTCTAGCTCAATGTACTTTTCCAGTATTTGAAACATTTCGACTTGTGCTTTAATTTTGTGACGACGGGACAATTGCTTTAAGTACACGGCTATTGATTTACCGAAAAGATCATCTTCCGTTTCCGGAACTGTCACATTTGAATACACATTGGTGTCTAACTGGTTTTGATAATTTGTTTGTTGAGGTCTTACTTGCGAGTTAGCATATAAATTACGCGTTTGTTTATATTGTGTTGCTTGCGATGCAACAGCTGGGCTTGTCTTTATCACCATTTGCTGTTGTAGTTGATTTTTGGAAATCGTGTGTATTGCACGGTTGGTATTATGCGGTAGCGCAGCTGTTGATGTGATCGGTGCAATCGTTTGTTTTGAGTTAACTTCGATGCTGGTGTGATTAAGTGAATGTTGCTTTGCGTTTGTTTCAGTAATAGGCGTTTCTACACACTCCTCATAAACATCTTCACCTGCGTCCACTAAGCAAATTTTTTATTAGCAAAAAGCAATAATATTTAGTATTATTCAAAAAGAAGAAATTACCATCAACAAATTCAGGATAATCCGATTCCATGGTGTTTTCATCAATTTTGCCATCGTAAGTTTCGGATTGTTCATCATAGTTTTCTAGACTGTAGTCCTCTTCTTCGTCGTTTTTGCGCATACTTTGCCCATCTTTGTTTACCTTTTGTTCTTCAGTACTTTGATATTCATATTCAACATATCCATTGCGTCGACGATTTCTTAGATAAAAAAAATTATAAAATATAAAAGAAATTGTGTTAACCATATAGTAAATCATAGSAACCTTCGCTTTCGCACAAATTTGCGCAGGAAATCCATTTGACGGAAAAAAGGACTATTACCATACTCATTCTTCTCCGGATGCAAACGCAGTTGTTTTAGCTCGCGTGAATAACGATCGCGTAGGCAAGTCCAACGTCGTCTTGCTTCTGTTGCTGTCATCCCTATCATGGCACCAACTACTTCCCACTCTTGCTCTTTACGATAGGCGAGACGAAAATCTAGATTTCTAGGATCGTACAGTGAGGGTGTCATTTTTACACGCTCAATTAATGCCATGTCCGAGTCTTCCAATGCTCGATGACCAGTCATGTTCAATAAATAATATTGTCACCGTGTTGTAGTTAAAATATACTTTTCTGGAAATTACACACAATTTATTATTTATTTTACGCATATATGTATATATATGGCAGTAGTTTGTTTATCATTTTATTTAATTTGTTGACAATTTTTACGTAGCACCGTATTAACAATGGTTGCGTGAGAAATTTCGCTAAAATCATAAGGTTATGTAGACGTCACATAATTGTTAGCGGGAGCAATTTCTGCGTTGGATGTCGCTGTTAACGAAACGTAAAAGGTATTTGTTACTTTTTATATGAATATATATTAACAGCGTTTGTTTGAACATAAATATATCCTTTATTATTTTTTAAATCAAGATGGTTTTATTCCCAAATATATTAATTATATATCGCTTATTAATTTTAAATCACAATTACATTGTTATTAAGTAGTTATACAACTATGTCTAAAGTCTTATATTAATTATTAGTCCACATTAATTTAATATGGTTAAACTTCTCAATAAATAAATAAATGATTTTTACGTACACAAATATATATATTCATATATTTTATCTCTCCACATATTATAAAATAAAATTTGTAATATTATATATTCTTAAAATGCATCCCTGAAATTTGTCATAGCGCGACACCTGCAGTCAAATAATATGTCAAAACGGTTGTTAAAAGAAAATTAAAGAATCGCCATTTTGCTTTTCAGTTTCCCTGAAATTGTGTGTGTGTAAATTTAGCCGAAATTTTAGCCGCACAAAAAATTTAWCGCGAATTTGTTGAAAATAATTCACAAATTTAGTAAAGTTTTAAAGGAAATTGGATGAAAAACGTGTGCTAGGCATTAAGTTGTTTAGTTTATTAGTGCAAAGGGTGTTATGAAGTGAGTGCAATTCTTCGAGGAAGTAACCAAGAAAAAATTTGGCAGTGGCTCATCGGTGTATCGTGCTCGTGCGAAATGGAAAACGTCGTCGCCTTTAATAATGAGGTAAGTAGCGCAGGAAAATATAAAAAAAGTGCTTTGAGAACTTTTGGTGTAATTTTAAATGTGGTAAAATTGTGGTTTCGGAAAACAAAWTGAAAAGGATTGTGGACGCACAAAGCTGTGTTCCGATATTTGCCACACTGAGGTAGTGAAGCTAATGTGAATTTTTTTATCTCACTTTTTTTTTGTGAAATAATTCATACTAAATTTTTATAGTGAATCCAAATGCACTATTTTGTGCTAGCAAATATGTAAAAATCGAATATTTAGTCAACGCTAATTGCTACGATATTGTTCGCAATCACTGCACATTCCGCCAATTGTCATAAAACTACTTGCATTCCATTCCTCCCTTGGAAAACAAAAAAAGCAGCGTGGTTGTCACTCAAATGTAACACATAGATCTCGAACTTCTCAAATTTTTTTGCTGGCCTATGTAGCTAATTTAGTATTTTCCTTTAATCTACTTTTCTCATCCTATAAATTGTATCAATTAAAGATATATGAAAAAATTATGTTTAATTTTAACGTTGCATAAAAATTTCGATAGWCTGTTTTCAATATACTTATATTCATATACCGCCGAAAATTTGAAAAAATCKAATAAATGTTTGTATAAGTACCTTCAGTTGCAAACATTTTATTAACCTCTGTAAACCCAAACCTGTTGTAAGCTTTTTAGTTTCATAATTACAGATATTCTTAAATACATACGAAACAAAATAAATTATCGTTTTCATTACAGAACTGTACAAGTTAACTTAATTAATTTTTCAATTATTACAGCTTTCTAGCCTCTATGATCAGAAACCGCCTATTTCCAAGGCCAAAATGGCCGCCATCACTAAATCGGCGATGCGCGCCATCAAGTTCTATAAGCACGTCGTTCAGAGTGTTGAGAAGTTCATACTCAAATGTAAACCCGAATATAAAGTTCCCGGACTTTATGTCATTGATTCAATTGTTCGTCAATCACGTCATCAATTTGGTCCCGAAAAAGACGTATTCGCGCCACGCTTCGCACGTAACATTAAGGAAACATTTGCGAATCTGTTTCGTTGCGCACCGGATGATAAAAGCCGCATTATACGAGTGCTTAATYTATGGCAAAAGAACAATGTGTTTGCCCCCGAAGTTATACAACCAATTTTTGATTTAGCCGATCCAAATCATCCAATTTACCAATTGCCACCGAGTGGTGGTACTGGTGGACCAAACATGAGTGGAAGTAATTTAAATGATATTGCATCGGGTGGTGCAAATGGCTTAAATCTATCGTCTACCTCTATGGATATTAGTATGAATGCAACGGGTTCCAACGATGATAAGCATGGCGTCATGCCAGAAATTACGGTAAGTCTTACAATTACAGAACCTTAATAAAGTTTATTAGAAGCTCAARTTCACAATTTCATTAAACTGTGATTTTATCTTTCTGTACATGCATACTAACAAAACTGCCTAAACATATCAATCAAATTTAACAAACCAAATAAAAATAAATAAACAATGYACTATATAGACAATGTGTCACGAAAAAGCGCAAAATATGCTAGATAACGGTACATTGCGTCAGTTGGAACATATGCAACAATATCTCAAGCGTCATAGCGCATCAGCAACAACAACTTGTTCCACTAAGGCTACACGCGAAATGCGAGAATCGCGCGATTTGCGGGAAATACGTGAAACTCGAGAACTACGCGAAACACGAGAAATGCGTGAGCCGCGTGAATTGCGTGAGTCGCGAGATTTGCGTGATGCACGCGCAGAGAGAGATGCACACGAATATGCTCGGCTAATTGATAGCGGGGCTGGTGGCGGTAGTGGACGAAGTGCAAGTAACGTTGGAAATGTTGGTGCTGGTAGCAGTGGAATCTCCAGTAGTGGCAATAAATCCCAACATACGGAATCCTATATAAAATATACAAAAAGCAGCCATGATGTTATACTGGACGACAACGATGGTCTAGATAACAACTCGCCGCAGCATTCATCCAAAMTAATCGATGTAAATTTTCCTTTGTCTACCACTAGACTGTTAATTAGATTTCAAAATTTTCACACAACGGACAATATTTTATTAGTTGTACTCATCAGTTGAAAAATTTCGATTTTGCGTGAACAAAAAATATTTTTTTCACATAATTTCTTAAAAAGTAKTTTCTATTTAAAATTAACTTTTTGATTTTCAAAAAATGCTGTTTTTACATATTTTTAATAGTGTTAAAACTTTGGTGCTTTTCTATTTTTTCTAATGAAATTTATACACACATATGTACATGTTTAGCGTTGCCATTTACTGCAGTTGAAACCCCATTTGATTTGATATTTGCTTTGCTAGCCTTAAAACATTTAAAAATTTTCTTAATATTTGTATTTTTTACTTATCATAATTAGTATGCCTAAAATTAATTAATTACATATAATTTTTTAGAACAATAACTTGCAACAACTGCTTAACGATCCAAATGTCTTGCTGCAACTACAAACGTTGCAGAATTTCCAAAAAATGAAACAACAAGAGGAACAGCAATACAAAATAAACGAAATGCGTATGCAAGAGAAAGAATTTGAGAAACATTTACAAAATGTTTTGAAGGTATTCSCATTATAAATACTTTTGCTTTAATATAATATAATCTATTTGCTGTTTTTATTTTTTTCCAATTCTATTTACAATTTAGACGCAAGCTGGTGGGCATGGCGTATCCGCTGAGTCAAGTGAGTTCAACAAAGAAGTGGAATTCGTATCGGTGGAACAAAAAATTGAGGTACATATATTTTTACATAAATAATTTTAAGTTATTGTAATGTTTTAGATATTTTATTTGATTTTCAACTTTACAATAACTCTCATTTGACACAATAAAACGCAGTTTTTATGCAAAAAAAAGTTTATGAAACAAAATTTAATTTATTCGATAAATTATTAAATATTAATTATTTAAAAAAAAGTTTTTAATTAAAAAAATTCAATACATTAAAAAAAAATATTGTTTAAAAAACTTAAATTCATTAAAAGAAAATTTAATTTCCAAATAGTTTTTTAAATATATTCGAAATTAATTTTGTTAAATTTCATTAAATTGCATAAAACACTACGTTTTACTTGTGCTGACGTGCGGTTGTTTAAATTTAAATTGAAAATAATAACTAAACTCGACGAGATCACTGAGCGATTAATCAGCACCAATACCTGATGTTGTTATACCCAAGCAAAAAATGAGACTTTAAATGTGTCASCTATGCAACTTGCAAACATATCATATTTTAATGCAAAATTTAATGAACGCTAACCGTCCAAATAAGCTGTACTCTTAATTATCCCCAAAGAAACTTTAAAATGTTAACTAAAACTAAATTGGATAGGGCGGGCAGCACTACCAAAACATATGTTATTTTAAAAGATTTAGCACAATTTCTTAGTCTATTATATTAATATATGCTAAATAGTGTAGCGATGAATGACACACTGATTTTAACCACTAATTCGAAAATTTGCAAAATATATATTTTGTGGCTTAACGCATACATACACGACCCATACGAACGGTTGAAAAACAAAAAAAAAAACTATTTTTTCCAATAAAAAAAGCAGCTATAGCATGCAAAGTTCGTAAATAATTGTAATTGGCAAACAAAAAAGTAATATTTTTGATTAAAAGTTCAAAACAATGAAAAAAATTACATCTACTTTTATATACATATAAAATATAAATTCGAATTGAATTGACTTTGACTCCGTTTGGCGTCGGAATTTTCATCCAACGGCTTATGCGCCCGCGCATAATCGTTGAAAAGGTAAGATTTAAAACTGATGAAATTCTGCCGGACTTGGTGTGAGACGTATAACAACGTTTGCGTAGCGATTGCTGGTAAGTTAACTCTACACAATTTTTTGTCTAACTTTAAATTTAGAAGAGTTATAGAAACAATAATAATCAATCGAAATGTAAACGAAATATTTAAGCGTTTAAAAGTAAAAAAAAACGAAAACAAAGTAATGTGAAATTTGCTCAAAATAACTACGTCAATCATATATAATAAAAACGTTAAAGCGTAAGCGTGTAAATTGTACACGAATA